TTCACGATCCCGAAATGACTTTCGCCACTTTGAGAAAACCGGGGCTTAGATCGGGTTAAGAGAAAACGGACTTGCAGCGCTCGAAATGTAATTTTGTTAAAAGTATCGATTTTCTGTCGCCTTGTAAACTGGAGATGAAACTTCCCAATTGTCTCTCTGTCGTTTGTTTCGAGCTTTCAACTGTGGATTTCAATTTCACAAGCGGTGAGACACGCATTGTAAATTTCATCGAACGAATCACTTTTTCCATCTCTAAATCTTCCTGCAAATCTCAATTAGAGAATCCGTTCGAACCACCTAGCGATATAAATACACACGTATACGAGAAGAAATATACAGGGTGTCTCGTAACTCCTCGAACACCCGGAAATGGGGGGTTGCTGGGGTGACTCTGAACAACTTTTTCCTTTACCAAAATGTTGTTTGAAGCTTCGTTTTTGAATTATTAACGAAAAACACTGGCCAGTCAGAGCGCGCGTAAAGCCCGCGCCCAGGCACGGGAGCGCTGTCTCTCATCCGCGCGCGATCGTGAACAAATGAGTACGCGTGACTTCTCGGTTATCGATCGCTGTCAAAAAATTTTGACTTTGCACCGCTATTTTTATAAGGCTTAGAGAAATGGTTTTTTCCCGTCATTCCCACGTTTGTACAAATTTTTGAAAAAATTGCAATTAGTCGGAATCGCGCGCGAATGAGCCTCTGTTCTCCGTCCCTGAGCGCGGGCTCTACGCGCGCTCTGATTGGCCAGTGTTTTTCGTTAATAATTCAAAAATGAAGCTTCAAACAACATTTTGCTAAAGGAAACAGTTGTTCAGAGTCACACCAGCAACCCCCCATTTCCAGGTGTTCGAGGAGTTACGGGACACCCTGTATATGGGAAAAAGCGTCAAATTGAAAAGAAGAAACATATAAAACATACGGTTAGAATGAAAACTGCATGAATTAATTACCCTCGATGTTCTGTTGACAGCCATTGAAAAAATGGTTATACGCAAGTACAATATAAGCGAGAACGACTTCAAGATCATGGAAACAGTGGTGCTGAAGACGGAACCTCATAAAGCTGGCAAACAGTGGAAATTCGCCGGAGCGTTTTATTACGCGATCACGGTCCTCACCACTATCGGTACGTTTTTAATTAACTAAATCTCGTTCAGCGAGTCGTTCGAACCGCCTTTAAATTCACGGTCTGAAAAATTAGCTTGCCAATTTCAAATTTACCAAAAAAAAAAAAAAAAAAAAAAGAAAGAAAGGAAAAAAAGGTGTATTCATGGAACATCTGTTTCATCGATCAGCTTTTCCGATTGTTAAACGAATGAAAAATCTCCGTTGAAATAACTGTTTCAGCAACAGTGAATCTCTATTAACGCGAAATCTATGGTTCTCTGTTTCGCATAAAATACATTTCAATTTGCAGCATCCCCTTTTTTTTGCCTCCGTTATTTTAATTTCACCGCTGCACGGATGTACAGCAAATCGGATTATTCAATTTCCGAATGGCTTTTATGCTGTATTTGTCGTGTGACTTTTAGGTTACGGACATTCCACGCCGAGCACCGTAGAGGGCAAGCTGTTCACGATGTTCTACGGGGGCATCGGTATCCCGTTAGGACTCGTAATGTTCCAGAGCATAGGAGACCGTCTGAATAAGCTCTCGTCCATCGTAATACAGAACATAAAGAGGCGTCTAAACTGTAAGGATGTCCAGGTAAAACTACGAACTCCCGTCGTCTCGTTGCGTACTCCAGGTCGAAGCGATCGATAGAAAATGTAGCTCGATTTCGATCAATTTGGAAACTTCGAACGATTCGAGAGAAATGACGAATCTAATCGATACGAAATTTTACTTTTTATAAAATTTCATAAAATTTGAGAAAAATAATCACGCTATAGTGGGTGCATCTTGCGATATTTTTCATAACGATAAAACTTTAGAAGGGTAATCACACTCTAGTTGAGTATATTTTTCAATATTTTTGCAATATTGTAGGATGGAACATTTATTATAGTCAGAAGGTTCGTTTCTCGACGAGTATAAAGAAGCGGGGAAAAATTGTCTAATTTTCAGGCCTCAGAAACAAATCTTATCTGCGCGGTGACGACCTTATCTTGCTTAACAATTGCTGGAGGTGCCGCGGCGTTCTCTCGGTACGAAGGGTGGTCATACTTCGACTCCATCTACTATTGTTTCGTCACCCTGACAACCATTGGCTTTGGCGACATGGTCGCGTTACAAAAGGATAACGCGCTGAACAACAAGCCCGAGTACGTGATGTTCGCCCTGATATTCATTTTATTCGGCTTGGCCATCGTCGCCGCCTCCCTCAATTTATTGGTGCTGAGATTTGTCACAATGAATACCGAGGACGAAAAGCGAGACGAGGCTGAGGCTCTACAGGTAAGGAAATATGTACCAGGGCAGCTTTTTTACACCGTCCATCAAATGGATCTATCGATCTTTCGGCAAATATTTTAGATACGAACAGGCATATTCTCGTAATAAAGTGGTCACTTTTTTTTTTTTCTTATATTTTTCGAAATATTCACAAGTTTCCCGTCAGTTTACGCCTTTGAGAAAAGTTTCGTTAGAATTTCGGTGGAAATAGTTAGAATTCGTTGAAAAAGTAGATCATTTAACGGTCGAAATAATGGAGATAAAGTAGATTTTAATTGAAAATCCTCAGCAACCCTTTGCGATCCATCTTTCTTAACATTTTAACACCTCTATTAACATGTCTCGCTCCAAATAACAAGATGTAACTTTCGATTTTACGATAAATCTTGCATCCTTAACCCTTTCGCTGTTGGGCTCGTACGTTGCTCAGTACTAATCAATAACTAAACAATTACATGAAAAATCCACATCTGACGATCCTTTCTTTGGTAAGTTTTACAATATTTCCAAGTGTTCTCAAGCATAAAAAAACATCGAACGTCGTCTCTTTAACCCCTTGACGCTCAAGTTTCTCTCAACTCGACGTGCCAAAAATGATCAATTCTGTTTTTTTCTAATTACCTCTCAGGCGCGTAGAAATAAAATTCCCGTTCATCCCGAGACTCAAATTTTCGCAATAGAACACAAAGTACATCGCAACACGAAGAGTAAAAGAAACAAACGAAACAGAACTCCGCTTTTCGGGAGGATCACTCGTGTAAGACACGATTACGAGCGTTAAAGGGTTAATCCACAGCGAAAGAGTTAACGCGACACTTGAATAAAAAGAAAAGAAAAACAGCGAACATCCTGTTGCAACGCAGACATTCTACCTAAGAATTTCAAACCATCGAGCGATATTAATAAAATCACAAGTGTCTGTTTCGCTTAAAATTTTTACGACTTAATATGAACGCCACGTTACACGTGACGCTGGACCGCAAAGGGTTGGTAACCAGCCTCCCCATCTAACTCGAATCAATACAAGAAGTACCTCTGAAAAAAAAAAAGAAAAAAAAAAGAGATGAAACAATCGAAATCCGTGACCGCGATCGAAACCGTGTGTTGGGTATTCGACAACGAACGGTGTTCCTGTAGTGCATAACGATTCCGCGTAAGAGAAAGAAAGCGAGAAACACAGAGAAAGGTAAAAAGAGAGACAAAAAGGAAAATTGTTATGACGCAGGCTGCGCAAGGAGCAGTGCGCTTGGAGGGCGACGTAATAGTGGTGAACGGCTCGATACTGGCGGGCCTCGTAGGCAACCTCGGTGACACGGCTTCGCTGGAAGACCAGACGTCGGTCTGCAGCTGCAGCTGCACCGGCTTCCAGAAGAAACGACGGAGACCACGGTTCACGGTCCGTCGCTCGCCCGGTAAGATCTCGCACCTGCTGCCGATGCAGCAGCTGCCGACGTTGAATATGCGCAGTGAGCAACGTTCGCCGCCGTTGACACCGTTGCTGCAACGGCCACCGTTGCAACAACTCCAGCGACGGGAGTCCGTTTGAAGGCTCTTCTTCATCCGCGAACGGGGAGAGGACAGACAGAGAGACAAGAAAGATCGTAGGGGATGGAATGAGAGAGATAACAGATAGAGAGAGCGAATGAGAGAGAGAGAGAGCTTTTGCTGGCGACCGCTTCAACGAATTTAATCCCAGAGAGAGAGAGAGAGAGATCGGTCTCACCGCCTCTCACTGCTAACGACCACGATTAACCGTTCCATGAACCGCGAAACTGGGGGATAAGACGCGGGGGATAGTTCGTTCTTACGTTTTCTTCGCGAAACTCTTTGAACTGGGTTTGACGAGGGACGACGATTCTTGTTTTTCAGGGGTTAGATTGATCGTGAAGCGATCCGATTGCTCCGCGCACATTTTGGAAGCTTTAGATCGGGGAGATTTCTTTTGGTTTGGTTAAGTATGGAGGTGATTATGGTTCGGTTACCGCTGAAGAATCGCACGAGTGACGAGATTCTTCTGATCGAGTTAAAGCCTTCGATCGACAGACGCGCTTATTGCTGTTAGAGGAATTCATGAGTTCGTAGAAGAGTTGTTTTCGTCGAGACCGGGCGGTTTTAATTGATTCGATAAAGAATGGTACTAAGATGTAAGTGTGTACGTTTGAGAGGAACGGATGTATTATGTGCTTCCGGTTGTTTCTAACTTGTTCTTCCAATACTTTTAAAAAATTTCATTCTCCTCGTGACAATTTCGCGCGCTGTGAAGTATACATTCGAACAGCGCGATCTTCCATTGAGAATCGTTTGAGAAAAGAATCTCTCGTTCTTCCATTTAAATCAGACAAAACGAAGAAGTGTTAATCTAGGAATCTTGTCACGAAACGCGACGATCCGGGAGGCGGTGAAATGATTCTCGGTGATGCGAAGTGTTGTGCGTGCACGAAGCGAGAAAAAAGAAGAAAATAAAAGGGTGTGCGAGTGATCATGTGTTCCGTAGCCAAGAAGCATTAACAAACAAACAAATAAAATGAAACAAAAAATATGCACGTGAGAGTGAGGGAGAGAGAGAGAAGAGAAGAGAGAGAAAAAACTATATATATATCTGCGTTCACACTGCCACAGAATGAACACGACTTTTTTCATTAAGAAGACATTTTACAATTTGTATATAATGAACTATAGATATTACACGTACGAATCTAGGTGTACGAAAAAAAAAAAAAAAATTAAGGCGTTTCGATCTTACGATGTGTAAAGAAATACATAACTCTGCGAGATAACCTTATATTATTTATCATGTGAGTGCGCGGGTACATGACAAAAAAAAGTCCCATTCTCGATTTTCCACTTAACTAACCGTTTAATCAACGATCCAGATCGTTGAGAGATCAGTGACTACGTAGAACTCTAGCTGAAACGTAGATCTCGTCACGCATGGACGCTCGATCGGGAAGATTTAGATTTCAACCAAAATACGGGAAAAAAAGGATATAAGAATATACATGTATGTATGTATATATATATATGCATACATACGTGTATATGTATATACACATACGTATCGTCTAACGAAGATAACCAATCGAGAGAAAAAAAAAAGAAGAAGAAGCCGTAGATCACGAGAATTAAATATCGTCCCTTGATCTTTATTGGTTTACAGTTTACCTACGAAAAGTCAATCCATCGAGACACGAAGCACGTATTTCCGAATAGATAAAACGCGTCATACTATAGTCGAACACGAGCGGAACAATTCTCTTGCCTTTTATCGACAAGTAGAACGTATTCGAGTATTTTTAAGACGTACACACTGGATTGCACACACACACACACACGCGTAGCGTAAGTAGTGAAACTTCGTTTTGCCCTCGCTCGGCCTTCCGAGAGAATTCCAAAACGGCCGACGAACAAAAAGGAAACCAATGTGACAGGCATTTTCAAACGTTCCTTTTTTCCCTTTTCTTTCTTTTCTTTTTTGTCGATCTACCACCTTGTTTCGTTCTCTCGATTATCCCTTGTTTCCATCTTCCTTCGTTATCGTGCCGCGTCGCTCTCTTCTTACGTGCCGATGCGCGAGTTCTTCCTCGTCGATCCTTAAATCTACGAAATTGATCTACCCTACAGGCGCCGCGGGAATTCTACCGAGTGTAACGCTTCCTTTGTGAAAAAGACGAGACTGTAAGCACGTCGAACCGATCGATAGAACGCGCTACCGTCGAAAACGCGTGTGAAAATTTGGTTCAGTGAAGAATTGCGATTTCGAGGAAATGGAAAATTGTGTCGATGTCGTTCGCTGTAATATCTGTTACGCGTGTTCGTTAAAATTGAGAAACTGACGAGATTCAAGCACGCAAAGGTGCCTGTTGAAAGATCCAAGGGTTGACCAAGGATAAATTGAAGTCGAAGCTGAAGAATTCGCGACCGCGTAACCGGAAGTGCTCGCGATCCGATGGACCAGCCATACTTACTGCACACTTTGTTCGATCGGCGTAAATTCCGTATCTATGGGTGATAAATAGCGTTTTCTGTTCAGAAAGGTGACGAGAGAAAGAAAACAGAAATTCGAAGAATCGAACACGAGTTCCATTTGTAACATATTAGGGTAGAAACGAACAACGATCGCGTCGATTGGAATGACAATTCTCACGAGTCACGTTTATCGAGGAGCAAACGCGTGTACACACGAGCGTCACATGGAGAAACGAATTCGATGAATCCGCACGATTGAAAATCGCATTTCACATTTTTCTTTTTTTTTTTTGTTCTTCGATCAAGGAGGAACGTTTCATCCTTTTCTTCCCTTTTTTTCTTTTACAGCTCCTCCTCTCATTGAACGAATGATTTTTCTTTCCACTGATTAGCAGTAAAGGACGATAGACGATTTTTCGAAATTACGAGATATTTAATTACCACCCCTTATAACCCGAGTCTGAGGATCGATCAGTATGATCCTCCCCCCCCCCATCGTTCGCCCATTTATCATTAAATTAGAGATTTATTATATTAACGTTTAAAGGAGAAAAAAAAAAAATAAACACAATTATTCCCCTGCGAGAATAAAATTTCTAATAATCTGATATACATTTTTTTATTCTCAAATGGACGTTATAGCGTGTTAAGATAATACAAGGATTATATAGATTTTCAGATAATACTTTATATTTATAGCGAGATTCCGTAAAGAATAAGTGAGCTTGTATAACACTTTGAAAAAAAAAAAAAAAAAAAAAAAAAAACGTTTCTCGTGGCAAACGCGTATTTTTTTTCCCTCGCGTTCGATGCACGTTTATTGAGCCCTTCGCGCGTCGTTTCTTTTTTTCCATTTTCCCCGGACTCCTCTTTTTTTCGCCTATTCAGAAGCAACGCTTACGCAGAGAGACACGAAAAAGCAAGGAGAGGATTGAGGAAAATATTCGTTCAAATACCCGACAATTCGTCGCTAAATTGATAAGTAATGTTTGCATATCTATCTGTTCCGTGCGTTCATTTTTGCGAAGATCATACGAAAACCAATTAGAGCGTAAAGGGTAATTTGAGATTAGCCGAATTGAGAGGAACTGAGTTAGGAAAATCGTGTATCTCGGCGAAACGGGCCCCAAAGGAATCTGTTCGTCTTACCCTTTTGACAGAGCAGGCATAACGTGAAACTGAACTGGGCAAGTGTAGAAAGGAGCTTGATTACGTTTAACGACCGATTCTGAGTGGCTTACCAAGAAACGTGGACTGCTGTAATTAACGAAGTAAAAAAACGAACAGGGAAAAATGATAAATATCAATCCAAAACGTTCCCACAAGATGCAAGCTCAAAGTAATGTCACGAATTATATTGAAGTGCCGTTCGTTTTCTTATGCATGTTCGAATCTTTGTATTACTTTGGTAAAGAACAAAAAGGCGTATTATACCAAAGGACAAGTAAAAGCTATAACTTGAAAGTCGATTAATAAAACGAGTTATACGTAGCTTCGCAGAATTTCAAGTTTCATCGACAGAGCATAGTGTGTAGCAAACGATCTATAATTGATAACATCATTTTGCCACTTTTTAAGCCTTCGATATATTTGAAGGGTTTGCAGAATAGAGACGCTTTTATTTTAGAAGAATAACGAACGAAAGAGACCGTTTCGCCGTAACATTTCAACAATATATAATAAATTTCCAACTGATATATTCCGGTAACTTACTGCAAACCCTTCGATTCAACGAGTCACGCGTACGATGTACAATTTTTTCAGAAAACGCAGTACAAATGGCCATGAAAACTGATCGAATTCACCGGTATAACTAAAGCTCATCCTAGAAAGGCTTACATTTGGTCGTGGAACATCTTGATTGATTACTACACAAAGTTAACTGAAACAAATTTGCGCAACCTTGGTTTCGTATTCGAGTCAGATACGAGTAAACCGTGAACTGGTAAAAATATTTCTGTAACGTTTAAATAAAGTCTCGCGTACGATAGATATCCGGAAACTGTATAATTAATCGTTGAAAGAAGAAGGAGAAGAAGAAAATGTACGATTTTCCGAATAGTTTAAGTAACAAGCTCGCACTTAACGATGAATCGTGAAAGGTGTGTATCGAGGCTTAACGAGACGCGTAGCAGGTGTGAAAGGAGATTACGCCCATTCACAGTCAGACAAATGCTTCAGATCGCGATAGATGATTGCGTTTTCCTATCATCCTTCTCCCATCAATGTTTAATCATTTTAGCTTGTTAAAAAAAAAAAAAGAAAAAAAAATCGAGGTCTTATATCGATATGGTGTGAAATGTACTAAATATTGCATAAATTGTCAACGATCTTCGACCAACGCTAGCTTAATTAGTCCCAGTATTGCTGGATAAGCGAGACGACGTTAAGATTTAAACAAACCAATTAAGAAGAAGAAAAAACGAGAAAAAAAATGAAAAAAAAAATGAAAAAAAAGCGAAGTTAAAAAATAATCAGTCGTTCTAATCCCTGATAGAGAGAGAGAGAGAGAGAGAGAGAGAAACGGATGAAAAATTTTTGCACGGTGTCTGAGATCGTCTTTCGATACGCAACGGCTCAAAAGTTCTCGAAGATATTTAATTATCATTTATACCTGTTCAGCGTAATTGTAGCATCGAGGATCGATGGAAAATTTCAAGGAATTCAAATTACTAACCCCGTGTTTTAATGTTCAGTGAAAATATTCGGAAAAATGTGAACGATAGGTAAAATAGGGTTTGAACGATTTGAAAGTTGCCGATTGACGAGACAGGACACTGTAAAAAATGAGAATAGTGCAAGAATTTTCACTCCGCTTGTTTCCCACATTCGACGATTCAAATCGGTTGAATTAACGTGTTGAGTACGTGATTGGCTTCAAAATTCAACGAACCATTGATCAGCCATTGAAATTTGTAATCAGAAATAGAAATTGGCAGAACGTGTTGCGTATGAAATTTTCAAATTCTCAAATCTTTTTTCTTTTTCTCTTTTTGTAAAATTCACGACGAAATCCCTAGATCAGCTTTACAATCGTTTGTGTCAATACTTAAGGTGATAAACGATATGTTAATTATTACGTATAAATTAACAAAGAAGAAGAACGCTATCTTTTCGAAACGATAGTTCACACGATTGTAAATTTGTCGACGACGCGTTCTGTTGATTTCAATTTTGTGCGAACGACAAATTCGAACAGAATTCTGAGAAGAAGAAGAAGAAGAAGAAGAAGAAGATGAAGAAGAAAAGAGCATTGTACGTATACACACGAATAATATTCTGCGGCGTGTAACCGCGAAATTTCAACTTCCCGCATTTTTAACTTTGTATTAGTAGATAACGAACACGATGATTACCATTAATGTTACCTTACACGAATATAAACAATAATATTTGTAATAGCTGTAAATTTACATTACGAAGAGAACTCGGAGAGATATGAGATTTAAGGGAGAAAATTTAGACACACATTCACGCAAATTTTGCTATTATTGTTATAGCATAAAAGTGTAAGTAAAATAGTTACGAATTTAACAAATTAATTAACAACTAATTAATTAACTATATATGAGCATCGAAGTAATACAGTTTTATCGCGTCGTGTTTCATCGACTGGGCGCACGCAGACTTTTAAGCTGCGGGAGAAAATTCAAAAGAGTCGAGTGAAACAGAAAAAGGAGAGAGAGAGAGAGAGAGAGAGAGAGAGAAAAGAGGAAACAATGTTAAAAGAAAAAGAGAACGGGGAGAGAAGAAAGAGAGAAAAGAAAGAGACAAGAAACAAACTCTGAACGCGAGAGCGAAACAAGAGAAAATACGATAAAAATTATCTGGCGTGTTATATTTTCCTTTTAACAAATTAGTCCTCCTATTCAAGTTTCGACTACGATTTTTCTTCATTTTTGTAAACGTTACGCCGCGGGGAGATCTGTTTAGCAGATCGATCCTCGTATCTGATATTCAGATGCGTCGTCGTGTTCTCTTATTCGTAAGATAGTTTGATATCGTTAAGAACGTTCGTTTTACGCCTGTGTCGTTCAATTCGGAATGGGTTACTTCCTTTGCCTCTGCAGATTTCGATCGTACTTTGTAATCATTATTATACAATAAATTTTATCGATAGGCGTCGACAACTCGAAACAAAGAGAGAAACGAATAGAAAAGAACAGGATAAACAAATGGCCATCTGTCTAGGGGGATTCGATAAAAGATTCAAGACGACTCCTGAAAGAAAACAAAAGCAAAAAGGTGTACGTAGCGATAGGAGGATTAAAACGAATGCTTTTCTCAGATCGAATCCGTGTTCCGAATGAAAAATAATTATCTTATTACGCAATTGCAAGGCTTTTACTTCGGTTATTCGTTCTTTCTTAAGAAAAAAAAACAAAAAAAAAACAAAAAAACAAATGAGAGAATCCTGTTGTAATTATCGAAGACGAACAAACGAGAGTAAGAAACTGAAAAGAGAGAAAAAAAGAAAAAAAATGCCTAGAAGTACTGTCACTTGCGATAATCACGATTACTTTGTAAGGTAACGCGAAACACAAGGTCCTCGTTGAACAAAAAGAGAGAGAGAAAGAGAGATAACGGAAATAGAAGTCCCAAATGGCTCGTACGGGTACAATTTTCTCGAAAATCGAATGGAAGATGACCACATATCCCTCGTTTTCATGTATTATAAATAATGCACCGTCGTTGCAAGGAT